TTTTTTTTTTTTTTTTTTGTAGCAGGGATCGGAACTCGGGTCCTTGTGCTTGCAGAGCAGGCGGCAGAACCACTGAGCTAAATCCCCGGCCCTCAAGGGAGAGTTTTAAGCTCAGCTTATTTGTTTTTTTTTTTCTTTGGTTCTGGAGATTGAACTCAGGTCCTTGCGCTTGTGCAGCAGGTGGTGAAACCACTGAGCTAAATCCCCAGCCCTTTAAGCTCAGTTTAAATGGTTTAGGAAGAAATTCAAGTCCAGTTTATCTGAATGTAAGGCTTCTCAAACTCTGTTGAGATAAGACAAGAAAAGTGACACCTGAGGGGCATGTGTAGTCATCTGTGAGTTCCTGTGGTTGAGTAAGAGAGACCTGGTAGCTGAATCGACCATGAGTATTTTTGGAGGAATAGGTATATGGACACTACAGCTTAAAATGATGCCCATAGCTTCAAGTTTTTAGAAAAGGATTTCGTATCATTTAAATCACCTTCTAGAGGTATAGAGCAGAGGCTCATAGAAGGCAGTGCAGCTTCCTCGCTCAGGTTACTAGGAGACCCTTTCCAGGTCCTAAGAAGCCTGGAATTTATTTCAGATGCACAGATCTATGGCTCTGGCCAAACTGGTCTCTGTACAGTTACCTTTCAAGTGCCTGAGGTATGGAAATACCTTCCCTGGAGTTTGTGAAGATTAAACAATATGCAACCCATAAAATACTTGGCACTTAATAGGCACTCAGTAAAGATTAGTTCTTTGCCCCATGTCCTGGAGGTAGAGGGTGAGCAGATTTTATTATCTCTCTTGATGGAAGAATGAAGGCAGTGTTGTGGAGAAGCCATAAAAGACCATCCCAACTTCTTGTGGAGAAGCTCCATGGCCTCCAGGCTCAGGTCTTTCCAGCCCATGTCAAGATGAGGGGTAGGACAGAATTGTCTAGTGCTCCATTTAGAGGCCAGTCCACTGTAATTGGGCTCTCTGGGAACCCTACTGCTATATGTCTCTAGCACCCTAGGCACCCAATAAAACAGGCAACTCTGGGTTCTAGGAAGGGTGGCTTCTCCCAGGGCCCGCTAGCTGTGTTCTCCTTGGTACTGAGGCATTCTTGCTCCTACTTCAAATCAGGGCTCTAGCTACCCCAGTTCCTCACTCCCTTAGGTTTACTAAGCAACCTTGCAGCTCTAGAAGTTTCAGCTTATGGCTTAGCAGGGGCTGCAGGACTGGGCAGAGCAAAGCCTTCTGCACCATGGCCTTTAGTGCCCTCATGTTATTTATCAGGCCTTGTGCCCATGGAGAGAAAAGAAGGGTGCTGAGAGGTGATGTTAACTAAGAAGCCCAGGCTTTATTCCTTGCTCAAGTCCTGAAGCAATAAATATTATTTACTTAATATTATTTCATTATTTTCCCATGTTAGGACTTTAGCCCAGAACATCACCATTTGTTCTACCACTGATCTAAGTTCCTAGCCAGGCTCTGTTCTTTTAAAAATCTCCAGTCTAATCTCACACTACTACCAAAAACCAGAACTGTCCTCATGGTCTTTCTTCCCAGGTCTGCCTCCTCTGCCCCCTTGAAAAGGAAGCTCTAAGATTTCTTCCACATTTGAGAGCCCCCACCAGCACCACCTTAAGAGGCTCTGGAGGCCATTCCCAGGAGGAGAGAAGGAAGAAGCCAACTACCACACACTGGGAGAGAATGACACTCTTTCCTATCACCAGAAGTCAGACAATCTGGAGCAGTCATGGGAAGGCTGCTTGGTGCATGGAAGTATTTAGCAGGTTCAGTACCATTACTGCCTAACAGGGTGTGAAAAGTAATATGAATGTGAAATACTGTGGGAAAATGGAGAATTTCCAAAGCGGGCAGTGAGGCCCCTCTGGCGAGCCTGGAAAGTCCAGAATCCCTGCTGCCCTTTGCATGGCTCCTGGAGTCGATGCTACTGGCCGAAACCTCAGAGGAAAGGTGGGGAGTGGGGTTAAGGAAGGGAGGTGTGCTTAGATACCATGGAGCAGGAGATGGGGAACCAGCTGGCAGCCTGTAGGAAAAAGTCTCTGCTTGCTTTCTCTTCCTGACTGCTAAAGTTAGCAACTTTCTAGAGCTTCCCTTCCTCCTGCTTCAGTGTAGAGAGCAAGAGTTGTGGGGTGTAGAAAGGGTTAAAACAAGATTTTACTGATTTTATGAAGTAACCCATCAACCCACTGGAAAAGATGACTGGAAGTACACAGGCGTTTCTGCAGATGGGAGTGGAATGCCAAGATCCTAGACGGATAGAAATTTCTCTCATCTTCAGGTCTAGAGGGTACAAAGTCCAGCAAACATGCCCACATTGCGCCCCTCAGACAAGAATCCCTCATCTCCAACATAATGGAGGGGCTGGTCTTTTCCCACACTCCGGGGATCAGCAGTCCCTAGTTGTAGGCGACAGGGGGAGCTAGACAGCCTACCCCACCCAGCCTTCGCACTAGGTAGCTAAGCCACTTCTCCGGATGAGACCCCCAGCCCCGCCCCAACACAGACAGCCACACACACACACACACACACACACACGCACACAGACATGCACATTCACGCACGCACACACACCGTAAGGTAAAGGAGGCACCCAGGGGCCCAGATCTGCCTTGTGCAGGGCACAATTACACCTCCCCACCCACTCCACCCCTCAGGCCTCGCGCCTCACACTTGAACCCGTGTTTCGGCCGCCGAGTGACTGTTCCGCGGCAGAGCCGGTCGGCCGGAGCACTGCTTCGGAGAACCAACGGTGCGGATCCTCCCCAGGCGACAGGCACCCTGGCATTCGTTCAGCCCAAAGTCAGTTTGGAAATGCTTGTCCTACACTCCCAAACTTTCCGCTTACAGGGCCAGGTGCCGAGGTGAAATCGCAGCCCTCTCTATACATTTCTGTAGGCCGAACTGCGTCGGAGCACCCTGGTGATGTCGCAGTTGTGTAGAGGGCGCGAGGTTGGAAAACAGATTGCGCAGCACGTTATTCTACCTTTCCTGTAGAGAAGGATTCAAAAACTTCGGGCACTGGCATTCACATGGAAATAAACTTCTAATCGCAAATTACAGGTGCAGGACCTGGTTTTTTCCAGAGCCTGAGAGAGAGAGAGAGAGAGAGAGAGAGAGAGAGAGAGAGAGAGAGAGAGAGAGAGCATGCACGGGTGCGAGAGGCTCAGAAAGAAACGCGTACGCGGAGGGAGGATGGGAAGCCTGGCGACTCGAAGGCCGCCTCGGCCAGAACGCAGCCAGCGCGCACCCTGGGACTCCAGCCTCAGTCTTCCAGGCCGGAACCTGCAGGTCGCGCCTGGCGCTCCCCTTCTGAGGGAGCTGTGAGAATGGCTGGAGTCGGGCTGGGCGGCCTCTTCGGAGGGCGGCCGCGGAGGACCTGGGCGCACAGCTTCTCCTCCAGGTTTTGCGCCTCAGAGCTCGGCGCCCAGGGCCGCGGCGGCCAGGCCGAGCCTCCTGCTTTCCTTGCCCGGTGAGCTCACTTCTTCCTCCCGGTACTCCGTTCCGTCCGTCCGCTGGAGCCGGCTCCGACCCGGGCCGGCGGCTAACCCGGGTCGCCGGCTAACCCGGGTCGCCTAGGGTTGCGTTGGAACTCGGGGCTTCCGGCCTTCTCAGTGGACCTCTCATGCCCAGGCGCTTCTTGGGGAGAAGCCTGGGAAGTGAGATTCCTCGAGCAGTAAAGAGGAAGTGGAAACCTGTGAAATGAGAGGATAAGACTTCTTTGTGACCAAACTCAGAGTACGGCCTGGAAGGCTGGGAAGGCCTAGGCGATGCAATAAATGCCCCTTTCACCAGGACCCAGTGCCCGCATCTCTTTTCCTTTCTTCTTGTTTCCTCCTTTCTCATTTTAGTTCATTTGTGTTTTAAAAATTCATATGCAGGCATATTTGAAAAGCAATTTCCCATTTTAAAATCGGCAGCAGCAGAGGGAGAATTACAAATAAGATTGAATTTAATTAGCTGGTAATTCTCCTCTTATGCCCTATAATTAAACAGATTCTAGTGGTGCTTCGGGGTCCACAAGTGATTATTACAAGCATATTTTACATTTACATTAAAACTTTGTCCCTGGGTTGTAATCCAGAATCTGGCTCCATTTATTCAGAGTTTGAACTTAAGCACTGAGAGCAGAATACTGCTCCCCAGCAATGAAAGGCTGGCTTAATGGGGGCTGTTTGGTTTACTTGGCTGATTTAAATTTTGTCCTGTTTTGAAAGATGGTTGATGGCTCCTGAGGCCACTCTGTAACTGGCCAAGGCATCTGCAGCCTCCAACCCCACAGAACCCTGCCCACACACACAGATTTAAAGCCTGAATTCTTGCAAAACCCAGAGTCACTTTGGTGTCCTCACTGTGTACAGAGAGGCACCTTGGCACATCCAGGCAGCCCGGGCAGTGGACTCTATCCGGCTGCCCTGCAGAAGGACTGTGGTGCCCTACAGATATTCAGAAGCCTTATTTCTTAGCTAAGCAATCTTTCTTCTCCAGTTGTCTCCTCTACCACTTCACCTTTCTCCATCAAGGTTATCCACCAACCTGCCTCTGTGACTCCTTGTGAATCTAGGCTATCCCCCCAGCTGGGTAACAGCCTCTTCTCCAGCCCAGGAACACAGCCACCCGCCAGCAGCCTGTGCCCAGCGGGCTCATCCTGCACCCTGAAGTCCCGGCTGCTGGCATCCCATCTCCTCCCCTAGACAATATCCAGGCTGTAAGTGAGGCGCGTGTCCCTCTTGTCACCAGATCCACCAGTGCTTTTGTTGAGAGCTGCTTCCCTTTTGGAGTCACTATTTCCTTTCCTTTGGAGAATAGAATCCATTCTCCTGGGCTCGCTTAGAAAAATAATAACCAAGACACAGAATCTGTGGTATGATCATTCCAGCTTCTAACAGCTGCCTTGGAGTGGAGACTTTCCGGAAATGGTGGAGATAGGTCTGTTCAGTTAACTGACCTCCACCCTGTCATTTCTCTGGCTGCCTCTTTTCCCGCCTGGCTCTCTAAACTGGTTTTTTTTTTTTTTTTTCTCTCCCTCAAAATATTTCCTGCTGAAACTTCCTCTGTATGTACTTCTTTATTTTTCATAAACAAAAGATCTTTAGAAATAACTACCCCAGGAGGGGAGAGGAGGTTACCAAGCTTGATTTCACTAATGGCACATTATGACCAGGCATTATGTGCATCTTCACCTCGGTCTTCTCATTTGTTGAAAAGTGGTTAGATGCAACAGGCCAAGGTATACATCCACATATACATCTGTGCCAAGATACAGATGGGGAGAACAGTTTAAGTTTCTGAGAGTGCCTTCTTTTGTTAATTCCTAGAAGACTGGTATTCCCTTCAGGGAATGGAAAGAGACCCTCAGGGTGCAAAGCACAAGGTGGGGGTTAGGTCTCCTGAAAACAGTCACCATCCAAGTCCACTTACAGTCACATGATTCATTGAGACCCTTAATCCTCATGAGAGCCCTAGCATCAGACCCTGTGACCCTGCCAGTGAAACCCCATAAAACTGGCCAAGAGGCTGGCCAACATTTGCACGTTAATTAGAGTGACTTGGGCCTTAGGCTTCTAGTCTGATGAACAGCTCCAGGGCTGCAGGGGGGGCTTGGAATCCCTTTCCCCCACCGAAGAATGACCTTGATTCTCACCGGGGCATCAGTTGGACACAGTGGGTGATCTCAAAATTAACCCCATTCTGAGGGTAGCTTAATCTAGGTAACTAAGACTAGACCCTGTCCACAAATAGGAACAGGCAAATATCTATTCAAAGGAGGAAACAAGAATAAGCCTTGAGGGCTGGGGATTTAGCATAGTGGTTCCAGCGCCCGCCTCTCAGGCGCAAGGTCCTGAGTTCAATCCCTGGTACCAAAAAAGAACAAGCCTTGAGTTTTTGTTGTTATTATTACTTCTAGTATTCTTATACAACAGAAGTAGGGAGAAGCCCAAAGTGAAAGAAGAGATTTTTGGTATTAAGGGAAGGCGTGGATACTTATTAACCCTCTCCCCCAGTGTGCATGCAAACATAGTGTGTGTGTGTGTGTGTGTCTGTCTGTCTGTCTGTCTGTCTGTCTGTCTGTCTGTCTCAGGGCCAGGGGTGGGGGGTGGTTGGGGGTGGTGGTGGTGGTGGTGGGTATCATCCATCCAGAAGCTGAAACTGACTGCTTCCAATACCATTTACAAGCATATGGGAAGGAATGGTGGCTTGGGCCAAGTTAACCACAATTTTGGCCAAGTATCAGAAGTCACAGAACATCCCGAAAACAGATCTGCCCCCATCCATTCCCTGCAAGGAACCCCATGCATGGCACATTTCCTACCAAACGCACCCTCTTTTCCATCCATTTGTGACTTTCACTTGGGGATGGTCTGGATAAGTTGCTGTTTAGATTAGGCTCTGGAGTAACAATTTGAAGCCTCTCCCACAGCCACAGTGATGTAAATGAGGGTGTTAGCTGCTCCTTATAGAAAGCAGTCACCTTTTACATCTTCATCTCTTGTTGCATTGTGAAAGACAAAATGCTTGAGTTCTATCAAATCTACACATACTTATGACACTGCAGAATTTATCTCAGTTATTTTATAATAAATGTGTATTTCCCAGTCCTTCTCCTTTTCATTTATAACCCATACAAATTAACTTCAAACCAGAATATAGCAAAACCTCTCTTATAGTAATACAGAAAATTTATTCATGATTTACTTAATCTAAAACAATTTAGACCTTTCCAATTTGAGTTGAGGGGCTGGGGATGTAGCTTAATGGTGGAGGGCATGCCTAGCATTGGGAAGTCTGCCCAGCACCAATCAACAACAACAAACAAAATCAAAACCAAAAGCAATTTGAGTTAGAGGGTGGGAGCACACCAGAAAATGAGGAGACTCATTCCCACAATTTTAGATGGAATTAGATAAATTTGGTTTTTCTGATTGCTTCTCTTTCTTCCTTTCTTTTTTCCTTATTCTTTGGCCCTAGACACAGAGAAAAGACAATCCAATTCGGAGCTTTAGGGATCATTTGTTCTGCATGTGTTCTCTTTTCCAGATATTTTAAATTATGATCAGAAGGCACCTTACACCATGGCCAGATTGTATTTGGTGTGAGTCTCTTCAAAGCTTCCACCCCCATCAGCAAACAGATATAACCAAAGTAACTGTTATCATTCTAGAACCATACAGATGTCATTCCTGCTTGCTTTTCCATGCATTAGGAAGCTCTGAAAAGATGGACAAGAAATAAGTAACAGTGGAGGAATTGGAGGGAGGGAGGGAGAGAGAGAGAGATTTCACATGTACATTTTGTATATTTTTGCCTGTTTATTAGGAAGTAATCTGATCTGGATATACATGAGATGGTAGATGCTATCAATAGAAATATCATATGTTGAGAACGATGTTATCTACTGAGAATATGGTATTGGAAAACATGTAATACAGTTTCTGCTTTGCTCAATAAGTCACAAATTGAAGTCTTACTAGAAAATGTTATCTGTATGGAGAAGTATATAAGTTTAAGTGAGGAAAATACACACTATCCCTCTTTTTTGTCATTTTCCCAAATGGGAAGACTTGCCAGTTGCATACCATTTGCTCCTTCAGGGGAGCCTGGCTGGCAGGACTGGCTGAGCTTTCCATCCCCATGGAAAGGCTGAGGTAGAATGTAACTGAAAAGCAGGTTTCACATTCTCTAACAGATGTTTGAAAATGTACAATTTATTCCACAAGGAGAACAAGACCTTTGCCTAGAAATGTCTGCTTCTCAAGAGTACTTTCCTTCCACACACATGCTCTTACATTTCTCAGGGTGGATTCAACATTGCAGCTTTCCCTAAGTTCTAACTGGTGTAAAAGTTCTTGTTAGGCAAATTCTACTCAGGAAACATGCCTTAGACCTAAATTTTAAAAGACAATACAAACAACACTATGCAGGGTAGTGATGTAAACTCAGAAACAGGAGGGATCAACTAAGTATGGACTTGAACAATTGATGCATTCCACTTTGAGGTAATTAAATAGCTCTTGGAAGCCAAAAATATGTTAAGTTGAAACTGCTATGCTCTTCAAGAAATATGCAAATAAACAAACCCACCCAGCCAAAGGACATATCACATTGATGCTTATGTCTCCTGCAGTTTTCCCTATTGCATAGTCCCTGCTAGTAAACAACTTAAATTACTTGTATGGCAAAGGTCAAATTGCAAAATGAAAGGGACTTTTTAAACTATCTATTTAAAGGTATGGTATATTTAAAAATCACATTGGAAATAATCTCTGCTTTATCCATTTGTGTTAATAAACAGATTCTGCTCCAAACACAAAATCAGATTGTCTTTTCCCACAAAAGCAGGTGATCGTCTACATATTTTTCCCCAGTTACTCACTTCATTGTATTGGAAGCTAGAAGAGATTTCAGGTAGTGACCAGGAGAAAGAATGAGGCCATGTCTGTGAAACCCCAAAAGGTGGCAAGTGGGGGAAACAGTGGGGCAGGAAGGAAATGAAAGGAAGCTGAAAGAGCTCTTGGCTTCTCTAGATGTTTGCAGAAGTCAGAATATATGGTGCCAGGTTTTTTCAAAGATGACAAAAGATAGTAAATTTCTTTTCCTTTCTCTTTAAGAATGCCTTCCCCCAAATAAAAGTAAGTCTCCAGGCTGGAGACTTTGCCCCTTTCAGAGGGAATGAGCAGAGACCACTTAGAACAAATTCTCATCATTTAGTAAAAATAACAGGGTGATCATGGAAGCAACAGAGAGTCAAGGGGTTTGTGCTAAAACAAAACAAAACAGACCTTCAAGGTTGGGCCTGGCCTGGAGAGGGAACATCCCAACGGGTTCTTCATATTTCGAGTTTTATAGACAGCCCATTCCCCAAAGGACATGCTTTCATTAGGTCATAAATGCACCAGCACAGAAGAGAGGGGAGAGAGTGGTGTGTGTCTGTGTGTGTGTGTGTGTGTGTGTGTGTGTGCGCGTGCGTGTATGCATGCCCTACTGTGGCACAGGTAGGACCCACAGGGCTGTGGAGAAAGGTGGGATCCTGGGGAGTGGTGTGTGCACCTACTTTTCCGAGGCAGAGTCCAGGGACCAGGAACAGAGGTCACCCTAAGTGAGGCTTCCTAGGGCTTCTGCCACCAGTTCCTAGCTTTTTGATTTCCCATGGGTTTTGCTGAAGCTCCTAAGTGCAGTGCACCACGTCAGCCAAAGGCCATAGAATGTTAAAATTTTAACTCGTTGGAGTTTATTAGTTGGGTCTTTTGTGCCTGAGCCTGAATAGGAAGGAAAAGGGTTATTTGAAGACACACTTGTCAGGGCAACTTCTGGACCGGAGAAGTTTACCTCCTGCAACATCCAAGGACCTAATTAAATGCCCTCATGAGTGAACGCTCACTTCCTGCTCACTTTTCCAGACTGGAGAGGACGTTGGGACAGAGAATCGGCCTGTCTCCCTAGCCACGCGGGTTTCCTGCAGCACATTTCTCAAAGTGAGTCCGGGTTGTGCAACCTGCATCAGTTGGCTGCCTCTGTCAAATCCTGAAGAATGTCTAACTCCACAGCACTGATTCATACAAGTCGGTATCAATTTTGAAATTATTGTAAAATACCACCCCGATGATATATTGTCTGTCTAGGCCAGATTAGTAAAATGTACGTACGCGTATAACATTTGTTTAAGTCACACTCTGAAACGCAGAGAAAATGTTTCAATAGGTGCCTGACTCGACAGGGAACTGGAGCAATCATTATTTCCTTCTTCCTTTTTGATTTTCCATTTCTAAAGAAAGCATTGGTATCCTGGACCAGTTTGGCAATGTGTATTAGAAGGCAAACTAGTCGCTGTCGTTTAAGCCCAATCACAGTTCGTAGTTCAAGGCAAACTGCCTTTAATTGACACGGTGTATATTCGCCTGCTCGCCTCAGACTGCTCGGGCAGGGACAGCCCCAAGAGTATTTATTTCTAGGACTGGAAACAAAACAACCAACCCCGTCTAGTGCGTAAGAGAGCGCTTCAAGATGGACTGCCAGAGAGAGGCTTTTTGACCCCTGTGGAAATTAGTCATATTGACAGACGCGAGGGAAGGTAAATTACCCCGCGCGCTGACGTTACGCAGAAGCGCGCGGAGTTCCGACTCCGCCACGGCGCTGAGGTGGCAGGAGGCTCCTAGTTCCTCTCCCCGGATTCCGATCGAAACCCGCTTTGCTACCCTGGACGTGAGATTTCTACTTCAAGGCGAGGGACACAGCGGTAATAAGAGGCCAGAGGGGTAAAAGGCAAGAGAAAGAAACCAAAAAAGGAGGGAAAGAGAGACGCCCTGCTCCTCCGTACAGCAAACGAGAACCAAGGAGAAATCCAGCGAAGTCCTCAGGGGAAGGAAAAGGGGTGGAGGCTGGGAAGGAGGAGACCCCGCGACTCCGCGCGCCCAGGCCACCACTTGGGAGGTCCGGCCCAACACTGGCCGCGCCACCCTCCCCCGGGGAAGGATCGAGGCTCGGGCGGGGTCACAGTTACACCTCGGCTCCAGGCAAGGACTTAAAACTAAGTGGCGGGGACTGCAGTCTGCAAGCGAGGCCATGCGGTCATCAGAGGGGGGCCAGGCCCGTGCGCAGGAACGTTTTACAAGGCGTGTGGGTACAAGGGGGGGGGGATCAAAATAAACTACTTTCATCCAGCATGGGCAGTGAAAATAAAAGCTGCCTTTAGAGGAGAAGAGCGGGAGTTTTGAAATTCAGTGTGTGTTTTTATATAGTAAAAACACCCTGTAACTGGGGGAAGCGTTGTGGGAGAAATAACTGCTAAGTTTTGGGGGAGAGGGGGAGAGGGCCATAAGAGGTTAATAGGTTCGCCCCACATCAGATCCTGTACCAGGGCTGCAAGCATCTGCATACATCCAGATGTCTCATTACACAAACTGGAGAATACTTGCGCGAATGGATTGTTGTTAACAAAAAGCATAGTGGTCTCACCTCTTTTCTTTAATTAAAAAAAAAAAAAGAATTGAGTCTGTGGACGAGAAATACTGAAAATCGTAAGAAGGATGGCATTTGATTTCACCAGATTGGAACACAGTTCTCCTCTAAGAGTAAATGGCATGGCAACCAAAGCAGAATGGGACGCAAAGAGAAGGCCAAATTCGCCCGGTGGTTGCAGTGTGGGGCTCTAGATCAACCGAGGCGCTGGCCCTGGCCTCAAAGGAAGGGCGAGACGCTGCAGCCCAGCCTGGCTTTCCGGTAGGAGGAGGTGGCCCCTCCAGGGCAGGGCCTGGCCAGGGCAAGTGTGGACCTCGGGCCTGGCGTCGGCGGTATTTTAAGCTCTTCTATTTCCTGGGGGATCCTTCGAAAGGAGGCTCACTCAGGTGTCTATCCAGAGAGGATGTGACAGGAGTAGGGTGTAGTGAGGCTGCAAGGGTATTTTATAGGAAAAATGCTTGTTTTTCAATTAAAACAAATCAAAGCTCTCTCCAGATTCCTCACCTTCTGATTTTCTCGCGTTTCGCCCACAGGAACACGCCATGATCCACAGTTCAGTGGGCCACGGGGGCTGGGATGGGTGGAGCCTAGAAATCCTTTCGGAATCCAGGTGCCAAGCCGCCTTCCTTGCCTTTCATCCCTTCCCTTTCAAGCGCTCTCTCTCTCTCTCTCTCTCTCTC